CGACCCTAGTGAGGATTAAGCGGTGTATAGATAATGGATGGATGAATATACATTATTGACATTTCGTCTTTTGATTCTTGGCACATTTTCTTTTCTATTAACTCCTTTTTTAAAAGTCAGTCTATTGAAGTTTAGGGAATAATTCACATTGAATTTACGTTCTAACCCTCTATTTATTCCCATACATAATAGGTGACCTTTAAGGTGACCTTTACACTTTTTTGAGTCAGTTCATTTATAGTGCTGCATCACCCCCAAAGTGTCCCTGCAGAATTAATAAAAGCATCAAACAGAAACTCAAACACACACAGAATCATAGCTGAGGATGATTAGTTGTCAGGCGAAACTCTTTTGAATGTTACCCAAAAAGTGAAAAGACAGAAGAGGTGGGTTTGGAGCCGACACTTGATAATGTGAAAGTCCACCTTCCAAATCAGCAAAAGAAGAAAGCTTTGTGTAAAAAAGATCTATCACGTAGGGACTGCTGGATAACCAGCACCAAGAGAGCACAGCTGGAGCATACAGTCGAACAAAGCACTGAAGCTAGATTGGTGTGCCATCCATCGACTGATTATTGAACAGGTCTACGTGGGAGAAGTCCAGGTTACAAAGAGATCAAAGCCTCAGTGTGAAGTAACTGTTAAGACTTCTCATTACAGAGTGAAAGGAGAAAAAAGTTCTGCTTGAAACCTGTTCATTGGGATGTTGTCCCCTGAGTTCTTAAATTCCGCTGGAAGAAAACTTCAAATTGTTCTATGATGTGATCACTCGACCACTGAACATCGTGTTGGGTGCTTATTAAGCAGTCTGCAGCAATGTGCTAGTTATCTGATAAGAATGAATTAATGTTGGTGTTGTAATTTCTAAAGATGTGAGCAAGAGGCAGCAGATATGAACATAATATTTTGGTGTTCTTCACTTAACAATGCATGAGTCACTGTTTTGTATGAATTATCAATATTGTAGCTGCGATAGGCCGTGTTTATGTCATAGGGTTCAAACTGTTCATATCTGACTAAATTCTAAATCAAAGATATTGTGAATTTGTGGCACTGATGAAAAGAACTTTAGACGTGTCAATAAACTGTGTGATGGCAGCACTCAGTACAGCATTACTAGTACCAGCATTATCAAAATATAATTCAGTATTCAACCTAATACAAGCTTTTCAGCTATTTTCACTTGGTAAAAAAAAATGTCTACAAGTGTGTAACACAGCAAAAATTGCTAATTTATGCAGTTTAGTTGGTGTGACTGTGAGCACGATGGCTATCCACCTTGGAATAATGCATGAGCGTGAACAAGCTTTTTGGTCCCTTTCTTCCAGCATTGAGTAAAGGCAGCAATACTCCCTCTTGGCCAGGATTTGTCTTTAAACATCGTCACTAAAATCTGCCACTGAGTTGTTGAGCTGAAGAAAAGACTGGTTTAGATTTAAAATTGAGCTGTGCTGCATCTTAGATATCATATTTACCCACATTCAGAGTCCCGACCACATCACCGTATCTATGAGCTGGCTGACTTACTATCCGTCTCGCAGGCTGCTGTACCATCATTTGGACAGAAACGCGTCTCCACCTTCCTCCGTCCAATCTGCAGTTCATGGGGATCAGACAGGTGGGCTCGGCACATATAGCGCATCCTCTGCTCCTGGCGAGCGCCGCCTTGAGTTACGTTGACGGGCATCCAGGGGGTCCAGGGGGTGTTCCTCTTCACCTCTGGACATGCCTCCAGATTGCAGGCCTTGTACTCCTGAAGGAGATGGTGGCAGAAGTCAGAGTGGAGAAAGTTTCATTCATAATTTAACAACAGACTAAACGTGATTAAGTTTACACCAATCTCTGACTGTAGGTTCTTTAGTGTTTTTAAAAAAAGAAAACAGTTTGGACCATGTGTATTGATGCTTTGAAATTGATATTGACACGAGATTGTTTTTTCTTTTCCTGAAGGAAACCGAACTTTATGTCCTCTAACTATATGGTTTTAAAAGGGAATTGGCACATTTAGCCTTCAAGCTATGTCACAGAGGATGGTAAAGGAACACTATGTAGTAGGGCTATATCATGATTTACCTTAAATGGCTTTAAATACAGTTGTGCACAAAATCTATCTTCAAATAACACATTTTTATTAATTGCACCACACAGTAAACAAAAAAAAATAATCTGAAATTGGGTCACAGGTGACATTTATCTCTAATAATACTTTCCTTTTAGTAAAGCTTTGTATTGTTTTGGTTGCTTTCCTTTGCCGTCTTTAATACTCTATATCAAATTCTATGATTTTTTTCAAACATTTTTCAATCATATTCACCTATTTTCACTTTCTTTGTGAGTGCATATTTGTGTGTTTCTTACTAGTGCACATCCTGGGCAGCTGTTGCCATTTTCACAAGTTCGCACCCTCGAGTGGACACCTCCGCCACACTCGGTGCTGCACTTTGTCCACGAGCCCCATGGGGTCCAGAAAATAGGCTGAGGACACGACACCCCTTCATTGCAGAACCTGAAAAGGTGGCGGTGGTGGCAGTGGAGGCGGAGAAGTTCAGCAGAATTGAACGTAATCAAAATACAACAGAGTGAGACCTTCAGACTTTTGAACTGAAGTCTGACAAGTCACACAACTTGAGCATATTTTGCTGAAAGACGTGACCTGAAGTCTGAAGTCAAAAACATTCAAATCTTGACTTGCTCAGAAACTATTTTCCATTTGTTCACTTTATTGATGTTATTTGTTTTCCTGACAGCTAACCTCTCACTGCCATGCACATAATAATTGTCCTTCCTGAGAAGCAAAGACATCTCAGGAGGATTTATTCAATTTCATTTTCATTGTGACTTTATTAACCTATGTGGTTATTCTCACCTTTCATCTCTGCTGGGCCCCACACACACACGGCCACCATGTCGGGGTGACGGGTTGTTGCAGGACCGTTGACGCAGCTCGAAGCCCGTACCACAGGTTGTGCTGCACTGTCCCCATGACGACCACGGTGTCCAGCCTCCATTTCTATGGCAACAGACACATTGGAAAATATTAGCCACCACAATTTCACAATTGCTCAGGAACCCGAATAATTATTCACCAGTGCTTTAAGTGTTATTTTATCACAGGGTGTTCTCTAATGCTAAAGGGGATTAAAAAAAAAAAAAGAAGCTTGAGCTGTCCAGTGATTGCTCTGATTGTGAACTTCTGGAAACAGAAAAGCAAACACACAAAGAAAGCTCATTCTGACCGGGAAGCATTCATTCAATTTGCTTAAGTGCTTTGTTCCTGGGTAGCACTCCTCATGATTTAATTGCCACTTTCTGCAAAAGCACAATTCAATTTCAACACCAAGAATTAAATCTGGCGTAGCTATCCAGCGGGATGAAGGTCCCTAAGCTCTTTGTCTTGGCTCTGTTCTCTGTAACACTGATTGGTGAGAGACGTCACAAGGAGAACCTGGATGTCACCTACATCTTCCAATAAAATTCCTCACTTTCATGATCTTTCTCATGTTCTGTCAGAGTGTAAATTGTGCCCTGGGGTAGATGCCTCAAAGTCACTCAGGACATTACTGATACAGCAGCCGAGTTAAAGAAAAGATGTTAGAGTTTGCCTGATCCTGGACCAGACTCATTTGCAAAATGACAGGCTTAATGTGCTCAATCACAGCATTAATAATTTCAACTTGACAATGTCCAGTGTACTCAGCCAGAATACATCATGAGCTCATTCAACCTTAAACACAAAGTGCTCTACGTCAGTTACAATACACTGAAGAGAAAAATTAAATCGCTCTGACCAGAATTATCAAACAAAACAGCCCAAACATAACAGACAAGGACAGTTTAAAAGCAGTTATGTTTTAGTAATCACATGCCCTAAAATTTAATAAAGGAAAAATGAAGCAGAGAAATTGCAAATCTGCGTTTATCTAATATGTAAGGGATCTAATGGGTTAAAAGTCTTCAAGCATATTAGAAATGTATTTTGCTCTAAGGCTTCTAAGAAATTTATAAGCTTGTAAAAACATGTAAGAATCTATTCTGTTACTAACTGGGGTCCCTGGTAGAGATTTAAGAACAGGAGAGTTTACTATTCTCTTGGTTCTTGTTTAAAGTATATTGCCATTTGAGGAAGACAGGACAGCAGACCACTGCAATAATTCACTGCATGAAGTGAAGGAAAGAAGGAATTTATCTTCATCACGTCTAGGCATCATGCTTTAAGTCTTTTTGTTGTTGTTTTACGTCATGTTCTCTACTCCTTGTTGTTCTGCAATCAAGCTGGGGAACAACAATGAGCTGCACGCTGCTGGACCATTAGTGTGATCGGTTATATTGAAGTCATGATATGTCTTGACAATATGTGATGGGACGGATGGTGAAAAAACAACAATTCTTTTCTGTTTTTATTCTCATACCTTGAGCAGTTTGAGACTTCGATGGTGGGACCCTCACAGTTTTTGCCCCCACACCGAGGAGCAGGACTGTCACAGGACCTGGAGCGACACAAACAGGAGCTCACACCGTCCACAACATCTTCATTGTTGCAGGGTTGCCATGGCGCCCAGGGTCCGAAACCCCCATTGGTGGTCTGGTTCCGTAGCTGGAAAACAAACATCAGACATTAAGGCAGGAAGAGTACAAAAACAGCATCTGGGTAATTGAACCATCCAACACGGTCACTGTGTCAATGGCAGTTCAGAGCACACTGAAGAATTACTTTTAGAGTACAGGGCTTTTACTGTCAAACAGGGCTTTTCCTTCTGAGTTTTCAGAGGATTAAATGGGAATAAATTCACCACAGCTCACTTCACTGCAGCCATATTCAATCCACTTGATCTTAGTACAGTCATTCATTTCAGTTCAGTCCTTTTTCTCCTCTTTTTTTTTATCCTAAAGCGTGTCTTTCATACATCCAGAGGATGTTAGTCAGAGATGATGTCATTCACAGAACATCTGAGTCTTAAAGCCCCATGAGGACTGATGTGACCTCCTGTTAGCATTTCTTACAGTAAATGCTGCAGTGACGTCACTCTTACCGGACACAGGGTGATGTTTTGCTTCCATTGGCTCATGTTGGAGCTGTCCTCCAGCGTGGTGCACCTGCGCTGCCTGAAGTCCCAGCCACAGTAGGGGTCCCTCGCCTCCAAGCACAGTCTGCAGGTGACAGGGAAGAGGAAGAGTGTGTTGTCATCACGGAGTGAAGGGTAGGTTTAGTTATTAAACAAAGACATTGTGCATTAACAAATATTACAGACATGCTACCAAAGTTAGAGCAAAAGTCTGTTTCATATGTGTATTCCCTGCACAGATGTGCCATAGTCCAAGTAAAATAAACAGGAAAATACTAAAATGAATAAACAAACATGTTGAAAGAGGAGCTTCACACACATTTTTTAAATATGCCTCCTTCATTGATGAAAAAGTTGCATTCAAATCCGGCACAAAAAATGCCACACAACAGTTATGTGTGTAGTTGTGTCTATGCAGAACAGAACACCTGGATTTCCTTTTACATGTTTTGGATTGAAAATGATGCCATGCTGTGCTTCAAAGACGCAGAGTACAAATATTTCCTTTACAGATTTTAGACACCAAATTTAGGAAATTTTCTCCAGAAACAGGAAAATAACTTTAATTGCAACGAACACTGTGGACTAGGACCAGCATCATTATGGATTCAGTGTTCTTAAAAAAAAAGTACATAGAAGGAAATAAAAACAGCACACCAGTGAAATCATGAAAGATGACAAATTTATTTAAAGTCTAGTGTGAAACACCTGAGCACTCAGTCGTGTCTGACACCCCCTACACATACAATATAAATAACTCTAAGAGATGACAAACACATCACTCCTCTCTCACACCGACAACACTATACATGGTACATCACCCAAACAGTGATTAAATATTTGTAAGCTCCTCCAGTAAAACAGAGGCTTAATGACGGCTAATTAAATCTAAAGCTGGTAATGACGAGGCTAAGCCGCCAGAGCTGATCTGGATGCCTCAGGAACACAGAATAAAAGGCAACGACTGAATAACTCCTCTCTCAAAGGCTCCCCTGTACTTTTTGCGTCGCTCCCTCCCTCTCCTTCATATGCCCCTTTTGTCTCCCTCCCGCTCCTTCTCCTGTCGTAGGTTCTCTTCCTCCCCTCGTTCCTTTGCGCTGAAAAGAGAGATTCTTGTTGTTGTTTTTTTTTCCCCCTCCTTTCTGGCACAGGCCTTCGAGGTTTATTTGAAGAGCCCTGTAGTGTTTCAGCCTGGAGGTTGAGGAATCTGTATGTGTTAATGCGGCTCTCTGTGCCAGGATCGGAGCTCCGCAGTGAACCTGAGGTCGGTTTACATCCAATAAAGACATTACTGCTTCGTCAGCAGATGACAGGTGACCCCCACAGACACCCGGGAGGGTGAGGGGTGGGGAGGCAGCGTGTTCTCCGGCGATCTGTGGCACGGCCGGAAAAAGATGACTTCCTTTGTGGGCATGACGCATTAACTGGTAACCTTCTGCGTGTCATTTTAATTAAGTGACTCTATTACCCTGACGCTGAATGCAATCTGCAATACAGATGAAACAATAATCGTAATGAGGTCGGCTGCAAACTCACAGTTCAGTGAGCATAATAGCTCATTTGAAAGAGCGGAGGGAGGAGCTTGTTGCCATTTTGGCTCAAGGTCGACTACATTGTAATCTTTGATGTGTGGTTTTGCAACGTCATCGTGGCTAAAGGACTCTCATTTGGCTTTCTGATTACAAACACACTCACTTCTGACAGACACACACACTCCATTACAGAGATCAGCAAAGCGGAACAATTAATAAGTGCGTATTTCAAGGATGGAATAAATGCTATATGAAAGGGAGAGGTGGTAGCGATTTAAAGCCTAATTAGCTCTTGATAACGTGCCGAGAGGCATGCTGGGAGCCTTCTGACCTCAGGGAAATACATGTTTCATCCTGGATTTACCCAGTTGGCGATAATTTAAAGAAAAATGCTGGCCAAAATATAACATGAAGACTACAGTTCAACCTCATGAAGTAGTATCAAAGTCACAATTCACGCACTGCATCATGATCTCACTGATTTCTTGTGTACAAATGACATAAACGCACATACAGAATATCACATGCATTACTGGATTCTATTAGTGTAACACGGATTTGGCTTCAGCACACGTCTGCAGTCTTTAGGATTTTCTCCAATCATTTCCTTCACCAGTGGCCATTTTTAATAAACAGGGATTTACTATGAAAAAAAGGAGGAAAAAAGGCAGTGTAGTGGGGCGTTTAGCTCTCACTCTGACCTTTCTACAGCTGCATAAAACACCAGCCAAAAGCTCTCAGTGTCCTGATGGCTCACAATTTTTTAAAAAACAGCACCCCTGTAAAAGTCAATTACAGGCACTGTGGATGGAGAGAGAGGGGGGCCTTTTATGGGAACAGAGAAGTTAATTTCTGTAACAGGTAGCGCAGAGGGATGTCAGCCAGAACAGGGGGCTGAGTCTGCAGATGCAGCGGAGTGCAGCTCATCCAAACCACGTGACTGCGAGCGCATAATTAGGTGTGTTTTCTGAATAGTCCTCCCATTTGTGTACACTGTAAGGGCGTGTCTTTGCTCTGTGGATGCCCCGGTATGTGTGAGAGAATTGCTTTGACGCGCCTGCAGGCCACCGGGTGATATTTAATTCAGCAGCGTGCATGCCTGGTGGCCCACTATATCAAAATAAAGAAGCTATGGAACATGGCCTGTTAAATTTTAAACAGACTGAGAGGCAAAAACTCACCAGCCCATATAACAATATGTCTGGACGACTGGCATCAGAAGATAAATCTGCCGAATTCCCTCTGTGGGGGTGTAATTGGCATTTTAAATCGTTTGTGAATGCTGTAAAAACCAGTGTCTCCTTTTATTATAGGACCTTTAACAACTAGACATAAAAACAACAGTTCACCTCGCCTTTAATGGGAGCCTGTCAGTGTATAATTGCAAATATGATCACCAGAACTGATAAATTATGAATTGCATCCAGCCATTATTAGCTGTAGCACTGACACTCTGGGACTTTCTCAGCAAAGGCTGACTTGGCGGGCTTGACTCAGTTCAGCATACGTCTGCATACGCTGGCCTCTCGCCATCTCCTCACACAAGGTTTGTCATTTTTTTTTGCTTCCACTCTCAGGAGACCACCGCTGACAGGCTCTCCTCATCCTCTCCTCGGGGGAGAGAGAGCCTGTCCCCGGGGCTTTTTTCCCCGCTGTGCTGGGCTGAGCTGGCCATTTAGGAAGTCTGCTATGATGAATCGGAAACACGGAGAACTCCTGCTAGCACTCAGTGCTAATACATCCAATTAGGCCCAGTTGGAGCCAGGCTGAAGACTGATGGTGCCGGGTTGGGAAAAAAAAAATAAATCTGGAAAACAAAAGTGTGATGGCTGTCTGCCAAGAAAAAAAAAAAAAGCCTGGTGTCCTCCCTGTACAGTTTTAGTCCCTGGTGAATACAAAGGAGCTGCATCATCACCGAGGAAACAATGGGAAGGCAGACACATGCTACGAGACAAAGAGAGATGGAGGACGAGGAAATATTTTTTAAACGGCTGAAAGGGAGGAGAGGAGGAGTAGGAGACACAGACATAGTGCAGAGATGGATGATACACATATGGACAAGATAAAGAGATTAATGGAGCTGAACTGTTGTCTTCAGGGGATTAGATGATGTTTGACACCATTTTATCAAGTCAGTTCATCTGAACCCAATTCCTTGATTTCAATCATTTAGTGCATCCACGGGCAAGAGGCAGGTTACATAAGGACAGGTCTGCCATAGGGCTGACATTCAGACAAGCAACCATTGACTGCTTTAGGTCACTTGGAGCAACCTGCTTCTCTTTGGACCCAAAGGAGACAAACACTGATGCAGGAAGAACATGCAAACACGAAACAGAGAAGCACCAGAGGGGTCGACTGCAAAGCAAGCTGGGCATAGCTTCTTTACGTCAGGTGGCTCAACAAAAACTTCAAGTAGGATAAAATGGGAGCGTTTGATGCATCATTTTACTGCACATAATGGAACAATGACATGCTGCCGACTTCAGTCAAGAGGAACAGGTTGTTATAAAAGAGAGCTGTAAAGAAAATAAAACATTTTTACAGTAAAAACTGCTGGTACTGCAAATGATGCCAGAGAGTAATGTGGGTAGAAAACTCCTAATCTTTAATATAGGCCATTTATTTTACCACTAAGTGCACTCTCAATGCATTTTAAACCTCATACATTAAAACGCCATACTCAAGAAGTGCATTTAAGTCTGACATCGTCTCATAACGAGGAACACGTGGAAATCACTTTAGTTTTTGGCCAAATCAAGGGTGAAATTTTTCCGATTGATTGAATATTCTCTGTAAGAAATACTAATAGACTCATCAATTTTCCAGTCAATGTTCTATTATCTGCAATGTTAACAGCGTAAACTGGACTTTGGGACCAACCATAAAAACATATTTATGCATTTTCTGCATCACTCACTGAGCATGTGTAGGTTTACCTGGCGAGACAACACACTGAGGTTGTGCCGCTGTACCTGACCATGACTTTGTTTAATGACCTCACTAACATACATCTCAACAGGTTTGCAGTTATGTTTCCCTTCGCTCAGAAAGGACTCTGAGTTGGTGAAAGGGAGACGCTTCTTAAAGCTTCTTAAATCCCAGAACAAAACCTCCTCTGAAGCAGGATAGTTGAGCAGCATCAGTTACCGTGGTAACGGATTCAAAGAGAGCCACCTTTGTGACATTGACAACTCTGGCTTTAGGCTCAACGTACCTCGCTAGCCCATTAATTACAGTGATTAATTCATAATGCACCTCTCAGGACTGACGAGTCTAAGCCTCGGACACTGTTGTTGAGTGAGGTGACTTTGCACCAACATGCCACCTGTCCTTTAAACTCCTTTAATATAATAAATGCAGCCAGTAAAAGTTATAAGGAGATCAATTTAATGGAGCTCCATAGTCACCTTATCAGCCAAAAAAATCCAGTAGGTTTAAGTGGCTTACAATCAAGGGTTGTACAGTGTAACTGCTAAAATCTTGTCTGAAGGCATTTGACACTTTCACAACACAGGGTTAACCTGCTGTCTTTGTATAACTTATATTGCAC